CAGGTAGATTCTCATATTCAGCAGCTTGATCAATATCTGAAAAAAATTGATGAAGATCAACGGCGGGGTGTGTATCATTTCATTGCAGCATCTCTCTCTCTCTCTCTCTCTCTGTGATCAGATGTTTGCTGGGCATTGGAAACCTCATTATGTTTTATCTGTCAATTTCACATTATGCAGAAAGAGAAAATGTGGCAGCAACTGGATCAGCCTCCACAGCTCCCGATCATATAATGAAAGCTGGAAAGGCTGGTGAGAGTAGCAACAGAGGGCGTAAAAAGTAACTGCTCATTCCAGACCACTATTTTTTAAATTCTTTATGAAAAGGAGAAAAAGTTCAATGGATTCCATAGTTAAAAAACGAAATATTATAAAGTACAAGTTTCCTTTAGCCCGGTATGAGATTGGGAAAATGAAGACATGCCCAGGAAAAAAGGATTATACTAGTTATAAATAAATATAAAAAGATCATATATAACAGGCATGTTAAAGAGGACAATAATAAAAACTGTTCTATACTGTTTGCAACTTCTGAACATTAATTTTTTTGTATTATTTTTTTTCGGGCTTAATATTATATTTCTAGGACACAAGGACACCACCCCTAGACAAAATTATATGCTTTCATCCAGCATTTCTTCTTTATTTCTGTCTCACCAAAAGATTAGATGATTTTTCAAGGATGATTAGTCCTGTGTTTGAAAATCCTGTGTGTGTTCGTGTTTTGAAAGTTGTCATCCTGATGGTGGTAAATGGGAATGGATTTGAATTAAAGTAAAAAATATTTATTTTGCAGGACTCGTCTTACTACAGCTACAGCTACAGCAGCAACACCAACAACGAATACAACTAGTATGGAGCTAGATCTTCCTGTTGATCCCAATGAACCAACATATTGTTTCTGCAACCAAGTGAGCTATGGAGAAATGGTTGCTTGCGATAATCCTGATGTACGTAAATAAGTTCTATGATTCTTTATTCTCTTTTTTTTCTTTGTTGAGCTTTACCTTAAGCTAAAAGAAGCAACTGTTTTTCAATAGTGCAAGATAGAATGGTTCCACTATGGCTGTGTTGGTCTGAAAGAACAACCCAAGGGCAAATGGTACTGTTCAGATTGTGCTGGAAAGCGAAAACGTAGGAAAGGCAGATGATGGATTCCGTTCTACGCGCTTTGCTCTACGGTCCGACATGTCCGAGTTAATGTGTTGATATAATTGCAGTATAGAAATTATATGCATCTTCATTTTTGTCTTAAATTTGTGCCTGCTCTTAGGATTGGATTTACGAGTTGCAAATAGTAACTTGGAACAAGTAGTTATCATCTATGGACGCATGTGAGCTTTTGTACATCTTACCCGGACTGTATTATCAGGCACAATTTCTTTATGAATTACTCTGAAATTGCAGCAAAATTTGTTGATAGCTAGGCATTGATAAGAGCTGTAACAGTTGAAAATATGTAGTTATGCCCCCCGTCAAGTATGGGATATTTGTATGCAGAAGTCGACTTCAATATCATTGCATCAAAACACAATGGACAGAACAAACATTCCGATGAAGAATTAGATCAAGTCGAATCTCAGATGCAATTATAATTTCAATCACGCAGGAAAGAAGATTCATTGAGTACCAAGAGTGCCAATCCTGTCTCGAAAATATTACAGATTCGTTCTCCTACTCAATCTAGAGATCATAGTTAAAGGATGCCCTAGTTTCCACTATTAAGCTCATCGCAAAATGGATTATTCGCCATCTACACTCGTCAATAGTACATTTCACCCATGCCACCACCAATTACAGGTGCCGGCTTCTCATCCTTTGGTTGCTCAACGACGATGGCTTCTGTAGTAGTCATCCTTAGATATTGCGACCTACGTACAATAATAAGAATAGAGATAAAGTGTTAGAAGAACAAGAACAATAGTCGCTGCAAAAGCAGGTGAATATCTAAAGAATGGTATGTGTAAAAGAAGTAAAACCCAGAATACAAGTTAACAGTGCAGCTTACCTTTTTACACGAGCCCAGCATATCCAACTCAACATCATGCAAGTTCATTCCAAGCTCTTCTGTTACGACCTAGATAACAGGACATGCTAATTAAAGAAGTGTGGTGGAATATAGTAAATTTATCACAATTAAGTATACAGAATAATTCAATCACCTGACCTCTTGTTAAAACGGCAAGATCCTGTAAACTAGCCTTCCTATTTTCACCAAACCCAGGAGCTTTTATTGCAAAAACCTTTAACGTGAATTTCAAATACAATGAGAAAAATTCCACAAAAAGTAAAATAATTGGCTTGGAAAACAATTACTTTTGATATTTCAGAAGTACCTTGATTCCAGCCCGAAGCTTGTAAAGGATCAGAGTTGCAAGTGCTTCACTTTCCACATCTTCAGCAACTATCAAAAGAGGTCTCTGCCTCTGGACAGACACACCAAAATAAAGTCAACAATACAAATCAAATCACAATGGTTATGGAGAACAATTTCTCAAATAAAAAAGCATAAAAAAACTACCTTCAATGCCAGCTCTAGAACTTTAACGACGGCATTTAAGCTTGAAATTCTCTTCTCGTGAATTAGAATGAGAGGCTCATCCAAATCCTGTTATTAGTCAGAATTTGTGCATTAAAAGTGAAATAAAACCGAGGGCACGTCCTGTTAAGAAGTGCTAGAGTGGAATGATTGATATCGAATGAATAGCCTAAACACATTTCTGATTCTTTGGTTTTGTTGAAATATGGCGAAATATAGCCTCTGTCTAGCTTCATTCCCTCAACAACTTCCAATTCGTTGAACAATGTCTTCCCATCCTACAGCATCTAATACCAACAATTACATATCCAGAGCATCATATTCTGTACTATGTAGCAAGTATGGCAACCGCATTAGACAGATGAGACAAATATAGAAGTCAGGAGGAAAAAATGTACATTTACTTTCAACGGGCAAGCACGTAGAAAATGAAACTGTACAACCAGAGCATAGAAAATTTATTAAAGCCACGATATAGGTGCACCCATGTATAAGTGGTTGCAAGATATTGAAATTAAGACAGTATAATTAGCACTTGAATCTACACGTGAACAAGACAATTGCTAATCAAAATACCATACTAACAAATAGCAAGTAGAAAAACTACATGTCAATGCCAGCCCATTTCTAATTCTTAATTTCCCCTTTTCCCAATTATTCTCAAAGATAGTAGCAAAGTGATTCATAAGCAAAATATATCATCTGCAAGACACCTCCACTATTCTTATAAATCTTATTAGTGACAACTTTTCTACTAGTGAATGTATAGCTTGCATGTCTGCTGTACACAAGTAGTACCTGTACATAAAAACATGTTCAACAGGACATAAAACTTCATAACAAGGGGAACTGTGATACTAAACAACAATCATATCCGTGATTTGAAAACATACCATCACCAGCAACATCATTTGTAGCATTTGCGACCTGCTTTACAAGGCTTGCACCAATATTCTTTTGACTTTGTCCTTGAACTCAATGCTCTTTGCTACCGTGACACCATCCTTTTTTAATCCACGTGCATCAATCATAAAACACTGCCAACATAAAACTCCACACCCTAAACCAACCATATATACTGCTGCAATCACAACAAATCACGTACATTAGAGTCGCTTGCTGTTTGCAGCAACAAGTTGTATTGGATTTAACCAGATCAATGTTTCTCGATAGTCACTTTCGTCTCTTTCTCTTTAAGTGTCAAAGATTAACCTTATCCCGCCTTGGTCACTCTCGAGCACATAAGACCCGGTGCAAAATGAAGCAACCATTACAATTTTTCACTTGCTTTTAGGATGATTTACTTTCTTTTGATTTTGAAATCTAATTACACGTTTATCAGACATCAGATCATCTTTTGAAGGTCATTCATTCCCATTTTTGCCATCAAAGTGCTTCCTCATGTTAGTGGAATCATTGTGCAGCCTTAATTCCACCAACGCAATGTCCATCACATCCAGACGAGAATCCACATTTTCTATCATGGCCATCACAACGTCAGTGTTCGCGTGAAACCCGCAAGCGTACGGGATCGTTGTACAAGTAATAAAATATGTAAGTTAAGAGTATCGTTCCCACGATGGATAAGGTATAGTTTGTAGTTCAATAGCTACTAT